ACTAGCGCGCCATCTGTTATGAAAATTCGAAACTATTATAGACTCGTAAGATTCTTTTTGAAATTAAACAATTTATACTGCCCTTAATGCAATGGAAAAATTAATGGGAAGGCCTGGCTCATCAGTGGTGAATCAGTAGATTAAACTGGCGAAACCGCTTTGATGCGTCTAAAATAGTTTCGAATTTTCAAAGCTATCATTATTAAAACCAAGAATAAACCTTACACTGTGAATGTCCAGATTCGTCTTTCGACAAAGACGGGAAAGTGGAGCTCCAGTTCTCCTACAATCCCGAGGACTGCCGAGGTGAGTCCAGATCCCACCGTGGTTATTGTCAGCTGCTAACTGATGGTGTAGGGTCCCACCACGACGTCATGGTCCCTGTGGAGAATGCCGAGGACTCTTCTATGGTCCGATGGGACTCTTTTGAGACCTTCAACATCGCCGGGGAGGACGAAGATGACGATGGTAGGTCCGGTTCTTTCGCCAAGAACTCTTCAATCACAGGAGAGATGAGACCTTATATATAAATTCATATATAAGAAATACAATACAATATAATGCGGCTTATGATTATAGAACGATGTTTGACAAATTTCACCGCAAATGTTTCTTTTGAACGTAAATCGCAATTTTATTTCAAGGAGAAATAACGACTATTTCTATCCTTAGAGAAGCCGTATTATATTGTATTATAAATTAACTTTATATAATATTTACGAACGGGAAAATATGTCCAGGGTAGCCTAGTGGACATGACATCTGCCCGGTAAGCGGAACACTGTGGATTCGATTCCCATCCCTGGACACTTTTATATTTCCGTTTATCATTACTCTTCACAATTCACCCTTTCATACTTCATCCCTAAGGATAGAAATGATCGTTATTTCTCCTTAAAATAAAATTGCTATTTACGTTCAAAAGAAACATTTGCGGTGAAATTTGTCAAACATCGTTTTATAATAAATATAAACTATTTTTAACGTGTATGATTATTTTTGAATTAAAATAATTTTCTTCTGTCATTACTGAAATGATAGAAGAATGGGAGATCCTAGCTCATCGTGAATATTCTATTTATGTACATGACAGTCTTTCTCTTACTTAACTCAAGTACATAGTCCGCCTTTGCCGGTCCCAGGCCCGGATGAAAAAGGAGGAGGGGGAGCAGTAACAAGCTCACTAAAAAACCTAGGTTCAGCTGGCCCGGCTGATAGTACCCTGTAAGGGCTTCTAATCCAGAGATACAGGATGAGCAGTGTTTGTACCCCATGTTAGGAGCAGCTGCACATGGTGTCTGTTTCTCGTGTCAGAGGCGGCCATTTCTTTTGGAACTAAGTCGGCCTGCCACTGAGTAGTGCTTCCAGTCTTAATGACAAAGGCAGACACATTCTACTTCACCCAGTCATGATGGTTTTTAGACACCATCAAGGGTCACAACTTGATACCCTAATATGATTGAGTGGATATAAGAAAGAAGAAGAAGACATATGACATTGATAAATATGTTGGGTTTCCCAATGATTTGACCATAAGTGTGTACAAAACACATTCACACATGCACAAAGAAGTTCAGGCTCCTATTTTGAAACACTCGATAAAGAGCTGTCACTCGGAAACCACTCGTCTCGTTTATTAAATGTAAAAAAACTTTTTCTTTACATTCCTACTTTTCCATTTACACTAAGTCTACACCCCGTTTGGTTATTTGTACTAAAGGTTGTAGTTGAATTTGTGAAAGAGTATTGTTGTTCCAAAATCACTTTATTAGGTACCGCTCAAAAAGAGAAACCTAGCTTATGATATTTACAACAATGAATAATATATGTGAAAGTTATTTACATATTAAAACAAAATGTCCAATACGGGATTCGATCCCGGTTCATTTTTTTACTTATCCTTTTAACAGTCCCTCGAGCCGGATATGAACCAGCTACCTAAGGATCACAGTTTAACATCTACAGCCCTCCGCTCTGCCAACTGAGCTATCGAGGGAGAAAAAACTCCCCGGCAGGGAATCGAACCCCGGTCGCCCGCGTGACAGGCGGGGAATACTAACCACTATACTACCGAGGAACCTTAAAACTACCACTAAACTACCGGTTCATGGCTGTCGGGAATCGAATGTTTTACCCACTCGTCCACAGATTCCGAAAGAGTATTAGAAGGTTATTAAAGCATTTTAAAAATATTTTTAAAGATTAAAAATTGTTTTACTCACTCCTCACTTTCTTACTGCTACTCTTTTTGTGTAGTTTTTTTTTTTTTTTGCTTCCCTCTTTCTCTTTCTTGTTTTTTTTCTTTTTTTTTCTTTTTCTTCTGTTTATATCGTTGTTTCCTTTGTCTCACTGCTTTGTTCTTAAATTGTTTTACCTATACTGATCCATATTATAAAAAAATTAAGAATTCCCAATAAAGACTAAAGAAGTGCATGTGTTGTGTGGCACAGAATTGGACCACTGTGGCCTGGAAGATGAAAACAACAAGCAAAGTAAGTAACCACTTGTATTTACATATCTCTGTTGCATATGTGTGAACACCCTGTAGTAATAGGTGTATTAGTTAGTTGGTCTGCCCTAGACTGACGTTGGCCATTATCCCGAAACCATGGTCTCTAGGTGGACACTTTTCATTTTACCAAAGTTGGTGTTTTGGTTTGTAACCGACCCGAGGCCGCTAGTTTGCGGCGACGGTCAATATATGGCGTCTAGTTTTGACGTTAATTTAACGGGAGAGGAGTCCTATGCTCTTATTGGTGTATTAGTTGTCACTAGATTGTTTGTGTTTCACATACGCAGGTATAAATAATAGTAACATCACTTTTCTTATTCATTTATTCCTATAGGTTTTACAATTGTAGTGCATTATTAAAATTAGAAAAAACGAGAGCATATACACACGTATTTCACATATTACGTATTACAAACACGTATTCCGTATTACAAAAACGAACGAAAATAGACACAGCCGTTTCTTTTCTATAATGAGCGGAGTTCTATGAAAATATGGTCGGGATTGGACCAATTTTTATATTTCTTTTTAAAATTTGAGAACAATTTTTAATATACTTCCAGATTACATAGAAGTCTGAAAATTTGTATACAACTCGCTCAATCCGCTGAATATACGATGATGGTCCTCCGCCGCTTCAATTTTGACTCGTAGAAATCTAATTATTCAATAGCGGTATAGGTGAAATATTGTTCATCTTCTTTAATGCATTTTAATGCGATATTTTGACAAACTATTTCTTATTAATTAATTATTCTATCTATACTGTTACACTCTTTCATTGATGTTAAACTTTCTAAAAAGAGTGTTAAGTGTTTTATAAAGATAGAAAATATTGTTTATATATATTTCTTCATTTTCAAAGATTGTCATATTGTTTGAGCGCGTGATTCCACTAAAAGCGATAATTTGGCTATGGGGTTTTGAACGCTTTTTTATATTGATTTGATCTTTCTTCCAAAGTTTCGCCGGTTTCTCATATGTATGTACATGTATGTAAAAGAGATAGGAAAAAAAAGACAGAAAGAAGAGTTTAGGCAGTAGATATTAATGTAAAGGCATAATCTTGCCATTCAATTTAGCTTTTAGATCTCAAAACCCTATCTTTAATTAATTTTAAGTTTATTTCACTATATTTGTCAACCAAAATTTTTTTAGAAATCAAGAAAAGCCAATCACGTATGCGTTGCAAGCTAATGGGCCTCGTCAGCGTTGTATATAGGCTGTACCTCAACGACCAAACAAGATGAACCAATAGATCGAAACGTACACGTGACTGGCTTTTTAGGATTGCATGATTCTTTCACAATCAAAAGATGCCATTTCTATATATTTTACCATCTAACCTAGTGAAATCCCTATTTTTCTCTATTATGTCGTATAAGATGGTAATTTTGCGAAAGTTTTATGATAGATATGGTAAACGGGTGTAGGTACTCAAGAGAGTTTGAAATTAGAATCCGAGACTTGACCCAACCCTTTATCTCCCACCAAGTTATCAGCCACTTGCCCGCCCTCTACCCAACGATAGCGCGAAGGCTAAAGGTCACCTTGACAAAAGATGCTCTGTCTAGGCTACACGGAGGGTCCCGTGGATGGAAGCTTGTACGCCACCGTGGCCAAGAAGAAAGCTGCAGATGCCCTCAGTGATGCTGATGGACCTCACCTCAGTATGGACTCTGGTATCTCTTCTAGCTCGGGACCTCCACAGGGATCGCCTTCACTCACGGGAACTCCGACCTCAGGTGAGTTGGCGCCATTTCTAACTCTGGCACATTATCTTGGGTGTTTGAATTGTACTGGACACTATACCGCTCTCTCGAAACCTCTTTATCTTTTCAAGCGTACCCATATATATGTAGTATAAAAACCTCCCCTTTTACATATACATTGTATTCAACAAATAAAGCCAATCTACAGACAACCCAGACAGAGACGGGAGGGTAAAGTCCGGTCACTTGAGACACCAGCGATATTCCAAGGGGCGACCACCCGTTAGTTAACACCTCGGGACTATTAAGACAGTTGGGAATTGTGTGCGACACGAACGGCCGCCCGGCTGTGCCAGTCCCGTCTCTCTCTCTCTCCTGGTTGTCTAGAGTCCTCTTTCAACTTGTGATGTGCTTATTTTTCTCCCCACCTCTTATTACCACATATATATATATAGTGGAAACTATCCATAACGGAATTATTTATAACCAATATTTTATGTAACGAATTTTTTTATCATTTTCTTTGTGCGACATGAAACTTTTTAAAAACAAAAAAAAAAACACTCTATATAAGAAAAATATTGCTCGGTCCTTTTGTGGTTTCGTCCATACACTCGCCATTTACCAAGAGCTCTCATCTACCGTTGTGTTCTACTGCTTCTAATACACCCACTTGCCGTCTCTAGAGATATCTTTCTTAGAATGTTAATGTGTATGAATTTGCTTCCCAACCATGTATTGTCGGCTTTAAAAGGTGACGAATGAGTTGAGTGATGTCAAGAAGTCGTCAAATTGAAAGATTCATCAAGAGGTGAGAACATCACAATCGTCGAGCGGGAGAGAAAGAGCGCCAACCAGCCATTTGGCCACTGCTGGAATCAGCTCAAGGCCCCGAGTGACATATAGGCTGCGTCTCGTCCAACTGTCCTGTCAAATTGTATCAGCATATTCTGATTGCTGGACTTATATTTATAATCCCCGGAAGAGACTGGCGGCTCTTTCTCTACCGAAGGTTTTGTCTAGAAGCGCCGCTGATGTCAGCTTCTCGACTCTAAATGAACTATCTAGTCTAGTTGTTCTCCCTCTCTCTGCTTCAATGATCGTTTGGAATTTTATTTTCTACTATACCAAACACAAAATTGAATGGTGAGTTAGAATAAAATACGTTTAAAATGAATATTAACATTCAAATTTTGCCAGGAGCTCTTGCCTTCATTCATATAGTAGTGTTCCACGCGTTTACTAAGAGCTACACTCCACAATGACTAAGTGATTTGGTCTACCTTATTAAATTTATGTATGTTCTTGTACATCATACGAACACTAGACGTTTTATCTAAGTTGTACACTCGAAACCTCCTGTTTTTCAAATATCGACCATCTCCAATAAAGACTATGTCTATTCTTGCTTTAGGTTCTCTTATGAAATCTGTATTAATCATTGAAAAGAGAAAAATGTCATTCTCGATATGGTGCAAATAAAATGGAATGAAAGTCCATAATAAGAAAACGAAGAAACAGAGAACACAACCATAAAATAACTAATGTACTGAAATTAACAGAGAGGGGACACTATATTCAACTGGTGGATGCTATAAGGTTCTGAAACCTGGCCCACTTGATGATTGACCACCCTTGATATAGAACATTAGAGATTAAATCATTCTTCTATAAGAATTCTGTTATAATTTTACCAAGGTTACCAATATTACCAAGGTTGTACCAAAAGTTCGTAAACACTTGCAAAATATAAATCATAATATTTAAATGTAATTCTACTGTCCTAAAAGCTTATGTTCATAGTTTACTTGAATATCATTTCTAAGATTCCACCCTTCAGTGTTGCATATAAAATCAGAATGATCCAATACAGTATTAGAGCTCTAAAGAAGCGGTCTGGTAGATTAAATTGGCGAAACCGCTGGGAGGGTTTACCACTGATGAGACAAATCCTCCCAATATTTTTTTTCATCGCAGTAAGGACAGTAGAAGTTTGATTTATTTGTGAAAAGAAACATTCGCGTTTTAGTGTTTTCATTTGAATAAATCATAATATGTTTATGAACTTTTGGGACAACCTTATATGATAGAAATGTTGATTGTGACAA